AAATAAAAGTAATAATAAATAAGAAAATATGAGAGTGTAGTAATTTAATAAAGTGAATAGGTTGTCAATCTTCAAATAATAGGTCTAGAGTTCAAATCCTAATAATGATAAAAATTTGCAATTTTTTCTATATTACAGTTAACTGTTTTCTGTAATTGATTATAATTAGATATCTGTAACCTATGTCATACTAGCATAACTAAAAGGTCTAGGCATTTATACAATGTTATATAAAAAAAACACAAACTAATACTAGGTAGTATGAACTTAAAATAAGTTCTTAGATCATATAAATCACAGGAACTAGATAAAAAGATAAAAGCCTACTTGGAAGATCTAAGTAGAGAGATAACTCAAACTTTTAACAATGCTACTGTAAAAACCAAACCTATAAGATGAAGCTAGAACTCATAAAGCTGGACAAATATGCTGGTCTTTGTAAAGGAACCAGATAAACCAATCAGGCTACTAGAATTTTTAAATTTTAATAAAAAAGAGAGAACATGTTAACTAGAGATATGATTATAATCTACTTTTCTGGACTATCTGAGTTAACAGCTTAATAAAACTTAAATTAAATACCAAAGTAGTAGAAATATGTTGTAAAATCAGTATTAGAATTAGAGTGAACTCTACAAGAGCATAGCAGTTTAATGATATGCTCTGACTACTAGTATTGATCTTAACTATAGTGATATCAGGTTAGCTATAAGAATAAGATATAAAAAATTCTAAAAGGTTTAGTACAAGGTCAAAGGTTCCTTATATGAGTAAACTGATTTAAAAGCTTAGTAGTTATGGCATATTTTTATTAGTATTGGCCAGGATCATTGGTAGAAAAAGATAGATAGGTGGATATAGAAACTAGAATAGATAGATAGGTGGATATAGAAACTAGAATAGTTAAATAAGAGAATCTACAAGCAGGATTCAGGTATGACAACTAGTATAGAACCTTTAGGCAGACTATTTAAATTAAACAATAACTAAAGTTGTATGAGTGACTAGTTGTATACTCTTTTCATAATTGCCTACTGTAGTTATAATGCAACTATTAGCTAAATATATTATTAATAAAATTCTGGGTCACCTTAATATTTTTAAAAAAATAAAAAAAATAAATAAGAAGATATAATATTTAAAATAATATCTAATATAATACTTAAATAATTAATATGATCAATATAACAAAAATTTGTATAAATTTATTAAGACTAAATTAGTAATATTGAGTTTTGTTTAAAATAAATAAAACAAAATCAAATTTATAAAATTAATTAGTAATCTTAATTAGTAAGAATAATCTACAAATTTGAGACATCTTAGAAGATCAAAGTTCTTTTCAAAAAAAATTTTTAGTAAAATTTAAAAGTTATTTTTTTTATTTTTTTTATTTTTTTGTTAAAGTTTTAGTCTTTGAAAAATAATGTTTTTATTCAAGTTCTTTTTAAATATAAATGTCTTTAAAAATATTTATATATAAAAAATTACAACTAGTTATATATACATTTTTAGTATTTAATTTAAGTAGTTTATTATATATTACTATATAAGTTTTATACAAAATGCTATATCTGCAAACCAACTATGAGTCTTGTATATTTGAACTCTCTGTATATGAAATTTCAACTTGTATCATAATGATATTTTAAAGATTACACCTATTTAAATACTTTATATATTTAAATCTTCTAGAACTACTTTATCTTTGACAAAAAACTTACTAAAATCATTCATGTTTTATATATAACTAATTTAGTTTTATACAATATGTTATAATTTTTTAATACTTATAGTTATAAAAATTACCTATTTAATTATTATGTTATACTATTTCTACTTTTGTAAAATTTACTAGAACTTCAGTACATATTCATATAATATTCTTTTTTACTGTACTTCTTTTTATTTAAGACTAACAGAACTTTCTAAACTTTTAATCTAGATAACTTAACATAATATACTTAGTATCCTTTTTCTTTAATGAATCTGATGACCTGGTTGGTATATATGCTTTTTTATATACTTTGCTATATAGTTTATTTATTTATTCTTTTTAAAGGTATTTCAAAGCTTTTTATTGATCAATAGTTAAATTATATCATTAAAAGTTCATGTTATTAAGGTGTAGTGACTTAGTGAAGTGGTCAGATTGTCAATTCTCAAGTGGCAAGTCTAGAGTTCAAATCTTATGAACAATGAATTTTAAAAAATAGGTCTGTGTCACAGTAACTGTCTCTGTCAATTAGTTGGATTAGTGTATCTGTAACCTTTGTTGCACTATCTTGAATGAGAGTTCAGGGCATCTATGCAAAATGTAAAATTATACCTATATAAAGGAATGTTAATAACTGGTGTTGCATAAGACTTCAGTGCAAACCTACAATAAAACCACTAAGTGCAGAAAACAAAAAAACTGAAGAGTTAAAAATCCACTTAAAAATCATGAATAAAAAGGCAGTATGGGCTTTCAATAATATTACTGAACTATTAGAAGATTCTAAAAAAGGATTACTAGAATAACTAGGATAGATTAGATAACAACATGTGTAGAGAAGCATATACCAACTAGGCTGCTGGGTTTACCAGAAAAAATGAATCTCAGGATACTATATTAGACCATCTGGATTAGTAGTTTGTGAAGTCTTGTAGATCTTGTAGATCCAAAAGTAGAGGGTGAAAGTTAGGAAAAGAAGGTATCAGGGTTCTAGTAAACTTTACAAGAATATAGCAGTTTAATGATTAGCTCTGACTGCAAGTAAAGGTCTAGGCCAGAGCAGTATTAGGTTAGCTATAAGTATAAGATACAGAAAGTTCTAGTGGATTTAGTATAAAATTAAACATGACTTAGTGATCATAGTATATTTGCAGAAATTCTGCAGTTAATAGGGTAAAAGTAGATATAAAAACTAGAATGTTTAAATAGAGAACCCACAAGTGAATTCTAGATATAGTAACTAGTGTAAAACTTTCAGGCAGACTACTTAAAATAGACAATAACTAAAGTTGTACAAGTGGCTAGTTGTATATTTTTTTTATGATTGCTTTTGTAGCTGTTGTATACAATAGTTATATGCTAACTAATTATCAATAAACTTTTAGATTACAATTACTTACCTTAACATTAAAAAAAAAAAAAGTTCATGTCATCTCTTTATTCAAGAATTTCTAAATAAGCTTTCAGCTCTTTGGTTCATTAATTTATTACATCTTATTATAGGTTTATATTAAAATTTTATATAATATAGTTTTAATATTTTTATATATATATGTAATATATATTATACTTTATATAAATACTCTAAGCTTTCATTTAAGATAATGTAACTTAAAGTTACAGATACACCAATTTAACTGATTATCAAAAGACAATATATTATAATACAAATATAATTTTTAAATTTTATTGTAGATAGAATTTGAATACTAAACCTGCTACTTAAAAAATGACAACCCAATTATTATACTATAATTGTTATTCTTTTAAAAATTATTTATAAAAGAGTTTAAAATATTTTTATTATAAAACTATCAGTTTTTAATTATATAAAAAGTATTATATATTAAAATAAAATAAAAAGTATACTGAATCTTTTTATTCTAAATATCTACTATAATTTACTTAGTAAAATATTAAGTATTTAATATAAGAAAAAAGTTATTTAGTTTAACTATATCTCTGTAATAAAAACCTTTAAAGATACAAAAGTAAACTGCTTATATGTAAAATTTTATAAGAACCAATTTTACTTAAACAACCAAAATATGTTTACTTAATAAAAATTTAAAAAAAGTGCAATTTTGTTAAAAAAAATTTGGTACAAATAATTATCAAAAAAAGTTAGTAATTTGTGTTTCTTATTAATAAATTATTTTTAAAATTTTATAAAAAGAACTTTTTAATACTAAAAATTTACAAACTTAAATTCAAAAATTAAAATTAATAGCTTCTTTCTGTTAAATAAATATGTCAATAATTTGACTTATAATTAAAAAATTTTATATATGATATATCAACTAATAAAAAAAATTGCAAATAAATGAATCAATAGCATGATTAAAAATCCATTTATTAGTTGAGATTATGTTAATAAAACTTGTAACAATTTATGGTTTATGATTGGTCAGTAATTCTGTCAATTGTTTTTATTCTATAAACAAGCACTTCTAAAATGTATTTATTATAAAAAATAGTCTTATATAAAGTCAAGCTGATTAAGAAATCTTTGAAAACCATTTTTAGATCTTGAAAATGTGTTTAAAAAGCTACAAGTTTATATAAATTTATACCGATTTCTGCTACCTTTATACAACTTTTCTTTTGTAAAAAAGTTTAGTTTAAAATCAAATTATTTATATTGTATAACATGGTTGTAGAATTGAATTTTTTAGCCAATAAAAGGAAATTTAACCATGCTTGAATTCAATAAGTTTCTGACGTCTTATAATGTCAGTAATAATTTATTTAATTCATGACGCTATACCAATTTTTTCTATATTAATCTTCTTTTACGATAGGTTTGACTTTGTTTTGACCTTTTCTTTTGATCGTACAATATCATATATTTCCATTCATTTAAAGCTTCAATAATATCCAAAAATATTTGTTTAATTCTTTAGTATGACGTATTTCTTCCTCAATACAGTAATTTCATCATAAATATATTTCTTTAAACCAAGATAGCCCGGAATATGACAGATATACAGTACATATATACGTACAGTACGTACTTATGAATGATTTTTTATATTATATTGAAAAAAACTTGCAGCTACAAATATAATGCAATGCATTGACCTTTGTCAATAACTCGTATAAATACGCCAAAGTATTAAAGAAAATCCCCTAGATTTTTGAGTAAAAAATCTCAATAAATTCCTTAACCAGAGGTAGTACAGAATCAAATTATTTTTTTTGAAGATATTTCTAAAAATTTATCTGCCCATTCTCTATTTCGATAAATTTATTAATAATTTAATTAATGCTCTACTAATGTAATTTATTTTCTTGAAGTTGTTTCTTCGATACTTTTTCCCTTAGTCTAAGAAAAGAATTTATTTAATTACTATATACAAGTTTATAATACTTTCCATAAAAAATAAAAGACAAACCTCCGGAACAAAAATCCAGGTAAGGATCACAAAGCAAAAGGTAATTACGCCAAATACGAGAAAAGTATATTCTTTTAAAGCCTCTTTCATAACAGGAAATATGAAGGATACAAGAAAATTTAAGGTCCAATTTGTACCTAAACATATTGAACCGACCAAGCTTACGAAACGTGTTGGTATAACCTCTGACATAAATATAATGAATATAAATGTGATTAATCATAATGTAATGATAGTAATATGAAATTTTACTTATAGAAAATATTATTTAAATGTCATACCTGAGATGATAAAGAATGGTAAACTTCCAAGAGCGATACCAAAAGTAGTAACATGGAGTAAAACTTTGAAAACCAATGAAAATTTATCAGAAAAGCTATATACTTTTCTATAATCTCGATTACTCAGAAGCTCAAATCGCAACCCCATATTGAATTTTTGGAATCGTGATTCGGTCTTATGAACGGCCGAGATTATAAGTATTTGGATTTCATAGCGAACCCACATCTATTATATTCAGTAAAAACAATAGTGAATTCTTACATGCGATTATAAGAAGAATATTATATCGATATATAGATCCAATAACGATCAAAAGACATGAAACGGTAACACCAATCTCAGATGTTAATAATAATGGTCTTCTTCCTACTTTATCTATAACAAATGTTGATATTAATGTAACTATCAGGGTTGTGCCGCTTATGATTATCGATACGTATTTTGCCGAATCACCCATGACATTTAAGAAAATTGCAGTACTATTAAATTATTTAATGATTTAGAAATATACACATTTGATAAGATAATATTATTATGATCAAGTTACCTATAAACGACTATTCCTTGGATACCACTAAGTTGTTGTGCAAGATGTGTTCCAATACAAACGAAAAACATCCTGCGACAATATGAATCTTGCAAAAGTTCTTTAAATGAAGCAGATTGCCTTATTTCAAGTTGATTATCAGTGTCAACAAGAGAACTTTGTATATATTTTTCACCTTTCTCGATATTATTATCATTAATCACATTAATCTGTTTTTCGGATTGTCCCTGAATAATTTCTTCAAATTCTAAATCAATATTATATCCCTTTCTTAATTTTTGTAATGTCACTTTCGCTTCATCAAATTTATTTTGTGAAATTAAATATCTTGGAGATTCCACTCCCATTATAGGCATTACCACCAATTGGAAGATTGCAATTACTGACGTCAGAGTTAGGAGAATGCGCCAGCCAGGAATAAATGATAATGATAAACCAACAAGTTGAGAAGCAACTCCTCCAGTCACGGCAGAAACTTGATAAACAGAACCAACTAGTCCACGTGACTTTATGGTCGAAATTTCACCCAAATATATCTTGGTTTAAAAAAAAAACAAAAAGAGTGTTATTATTGTTATCGTTAAAAATATCAAAAAAAGATTTAGGCATGTACCGGAATAACGGCAGAACCAACACCGGTTCCAATCCCAGTAATAATACGTCCGCATATAAACATTACTGGATTTACGGACGCACCGAGAAGTACACCACCGATTATCCAAGTAAAAGAATTATAAATTAACACGTTCTTTCTACCAAACATTGTTTGTAATCTACCAGCACTGAGACCTCCAAAAATAGCACCCATTGAATGGCTTCCTACCGCAAGACCCCTATTTTACATTAAAATTAGACTATTGTTTTTAACGTTAAGGGACGGGTGTTTCTATACCTTCACGAATGGGATCCATCTGGTACAAGTATTCACAACTTATTTTGATAAATTTTGATATTTAATTATATCCTACACACGCGCAGTTTAGCTTCAACGGTTGCAACTACATAATAGGTCGTTTATTCTTAACTTTGGAAGGACAATAGTTTGATTAGTACATTTATAGCTCTGTTCAATCGGCTAGCGCTGGCCGATGACCTAAGTCATAACATTTTTTGACATTACTTCAGCCATGCAATAATTTGACTTTTAGTCATAGATACTAATAAATTTTTTTTTACTATAGTTTTTACTATATTAAAGGTCATATAGGTCATCTAAAGTTATCGGCCAACACTGTTAGTCAGGTTCTCATAGGCAGAAGTTTGCTAATAAATTTACATTATTTATACAGTTTAGAGTACTTTTAAAAAAAAACGAAAACCAACCATAATAAGGTAAAAAAAAAAACCATATAGAAGGTTTCATTAGAGCTGTAGGACTCCATAGCCAAAAATAAGATCTAATTCTCGTCCGTTTAAAAAAGTTAGTATAGTAATAACTTCTCAAAACCCGATAAAATCAACTTATTACTAAGCTAATTTTTTTAAACGGACGAGAATTAGATCTTATTTTTGACTATGGATCCTACAGCTCTAATGAACCTTCTATATGTTTTTTTTTTTTTTTTTACCTTATTATGGTTGGTTTTCGTTTTTTTTTAAAAAAGTACTCTAAACTGTATAAATAATGTAAAATTAAATTGAATTTATTAGCCAATCAGACGACCTTTTGTCTATGAGTCAGGTTCCCATTCATGAGTGTAGAAATCGAAATATCCGACAAGTTTACCAGAGTAAATTTCCCATTGGAAGGCAGTCTGGCACTCCTACTCCTTGTACGTGATTATAACCATTTGAACAATTTCTAATTGTTTGTTCTTTCATTTACAAAAGAAAAATGATAAAATAAAAATTGAGAACAAAAATAACATGCATTTACGTACAAGTATACCAAGATCCACTCTTTATTACAATAAATACCTGGTATATTAGTGATGATTGTATTAATTCCATTCTCAAAGCCACCGATTACAGCTAATAGAGTAAGAATAATACAATAAAATGATAGTTTTGCATTTCTTGAGTCTTGAATTGAAGAGTTTTGTTCAACGTTTGAAGAGATCATGCTTTTTTCGTAAAATTGATTTTTTTTTGAAAATAAATCGATTTGTTTTAAAAGATTTTCATATTTATTTATTTATTTGTCTTTATTATTTAAGATCTTGTGGACTGTAACTCAATCAACCTAATTCTTCTAATTGTCTCATGTTCGACCAAAGGGCGACTATTTACAGTTGCGAATAAAAGAAGCTTTATTTTTTTTGCCACATGCAGCACAAACAGCCAAATCCCAACAGCTTATTCATAAAAAAAAAAATCTTTTAATAATACAAATCGTACATAAAACCATTCAAGCTAAATATCTTGGTGGGCTTAAAATTTTAAAATTATATATTTTTAATAAAGCAATATAGTAAAGAATTAAAAGGAATTTTATAATTAAACAGGCAATTTGGCTACTTGGTAGTTTAAAATATCCCACTTTATCTAAATTTGTCCATCTTAATACTAACTTAGCTATATTAAAATTTTGGAATTTGACCAGGTGGTACATCACGTTGAATTGTAGGTTTAGAATCTTAGAATCCCAAGTTGACACAAAATCTAAAAGCAACTTAAATTTGTAAGTAGGAACGGAATTTAAGTGGATTTGGAATTTCCTATTTATATTAGGGTTAGGGTAAGGGTGTCATATGATAAAATCAACCCCCAAAATGCTGGTTTTATATAAAAATTCCGAATCCTTTCCACTTGCAACATACTATAATAAATCGGTAAATTTAATATGTACGTAGCAACTTAAGTTGATATTAAATTCAATATTGTAATCGATTGAAATAATGATAGTTAAGTAGACCCTCTAATGCATCCTTCCTAAATGTAGCACCCCTCTAAATACACAATATTTGACTGGTTCATGTATCCTCTGATCAATTCAGTCACATGATTATTACTATGAATTTTTTTTAATATTTATACTCTATAATTTATATAAATATAACAATATTTTATAAAGTAAATATTATTTAGGCTCCAATAAAAGTTATCGAAGTTTACGATTCTAACGATAGTAAAAACGCTAAAATCGGCCTAGTATTTCTCGAGATATGAAATAAACAACTGTATAAATTTTAGACTATTGCTAATTTTCACTCTAGGTGATATTACCTGGTTGTATAAAAACCAATCAGATCGCCGGATATCGTGTAACCAAACCAGATTTTATTATAAAAACCACTTGTAATAAAAATTTTATAATACCAGGTAACATCACCTAGAGTGAAAATTAGTTATAATCTAAATTGTATATAATATTGAAAACATTTTTATTCATATCTTTGAGAAATACTACAATTATTATTAAAAGTCTTACTTAGTAAAAAAAAGAAGTTAATTATATATTAATGCAGTAATGTTAAATATATTAATCGAATATCATGTGATTATGACACTACTGCAATATTAGTATTTAGAAAGGTCTGACTATACATTATCTTTATAATAATATTTAAAATATTAACCTCAATACTATTTATCATGCATTTAATGTCGCGGACCATAATGAAATCTGATTAAAATAAAATGAAGGATTTCTATTTGACCCTTTAAAACCCATTTATACTTGGTTATTATAACTTCTACTTCTAAACCCTACTCCTGGCCCTAAAAAAATACACCTCAAAAATTTGTATTTTTCGGTGGCTTGTATATTTGACACTATCACTCATTTTATTTTAATTTAATTATTTGAAATCAATGATTCGCAAACTTTATTTATTTTATTATTATTATTGTCCGAAGCGTAGCGAGGACGTTTATACTTCTACTCCATTTCATGCAATGTCCGTTAAAGATAACCAATCAAATTTTTAGATTAGGTAACACGACAGATTCTTGCTTCGGACTTATAACGGTTCCCGTTTTCCTAGTTCTCTAGAGGGACGTCATATGGCGTTAGTTTTTATTTATTTTGATTTGTAAGCTTATTCGTATAATAAGGCTTCTCATTTCATCTCCGGATAATACCTATTTAATTTCCTAATTTCAAAATTTCAAAGCAGAAATAGGACTTTTTAAACCTCTTATTTTCGACATAAGTTTAACTTTGAACCATCCTATTGTTAGAATTCTATGTTTATTCGAATTCAACCTAAGTGGATTTTAAATCCATTCCGACGTACAACATACAGAGAGATACAAATTTTCTTACTGTTCTCTAAATGCCCAAAAGGATTTTTGTGTGTGTCGGATTTTGATTGATAATCAACTGCCCCAGGATCGCCGTCAAATTTTCACTTTCACGTGATGATCATCCAATAACGAGTTTCGTTTTAATGTAACGTTACACGATCAGGAAGATCAAAACAAAACGTTCGCTTTCAAAAATCGCTTATTTCTCAAAAACTTGCATAAGAAAAAAATTCCTCGAGTGATTTTACTATTACCTCACTGAAAACTAGCCCTATTATAAACGCTAACCCTAACTTAAACGAATTTAAATATTTTTAAACGCTGTCACGTGAAAGTGAAATTTTGACGGGAAGATTTGATAATCAGACTGATCCTTAGTTTAATTAGCCAATCAAAAACTTTCGGACTTTAAATAATTTCTATAACGGCATCAGTATAAAATTATTCCTAAGCCGCAAATAAGTATATGCAGATTAGTTCTGCATCATGTCGGGCACCAAAGCCCGTGTCATAGGTGGGGTGGTTATTATATGTGACCCAATTAAGCCAATTTTTTAATGCGAATGTATTACACAGATGAATCTAACTTTCAATAATAATTTATTATACGAAAGTGGTAGATTTTTGAAATCTAAATCCTCTCGCGGTATTAATTCTTTGAACTTAAGAATAACATAAAACAGATTAAAAAAGCAAACTTTTTAATTTGCTGTGAAGGTTTTTCTTTTTGCATTTAAAATTTTATAAATTTTAATATTTTATAATCTAAAGTTTATAAAATATTAAAATTTTAAATGCAAAAAGAAAAATCCTCACGACAAATTAAAAAGTTTGCTTTTTTAATCTGTTTTATGTTATTCTTAAGTTCAAAGAATTAATACCGCAAGGGGATCAAAATCCATCACTTTCGTATAATAAATTCCTATTAAAAAGTGATACGTATTCATTTTATAACAACACATTCGTATTAAAAATTGACCTAATTTTTAACTATGGGTCTACATATAGGTTTAATTTAATTAGTTGACTTACCACCCCAGTGCCATAGGCACTGAACTGCCAGTCTAAAAAAGTGCCGGGCACTTTAGTGCCAGGCTAAGAAAGTGCCTGGCACTTTAGGTCTGGCTACGTGTCTAGTACCTTTAAGCCAAAACGAAACTAGGCACAAAAGTGCCAGGCACAAGGCACAACAATGCTGGACATTTTCAAGCCAAACAAAAAATGCCTATGCACATCCCAGGCTGCAGATCCCTAATACAGATATACGGTGTGAACTTTCGTAAAAATGCGACTCGGTCGCTCCACAATCCAGAATCTCGCGTAACCAGATAGGTAACCTTGCGAAAGAGGAGTACGTAGAAAAACTCTTTTTTTCATTACCAATATAAAATATTCCGGTGCAAAACATTAAAAACAATCTAAAATCTTACGTAGATTTTTGAGTAAAAAATCCAATACCAATTTTTAATTTGAATAAGATATAAAAAAAATTATCTGGCCATTCCCTCAATATTTATCCATTTTAATAAATTAATTAATAATATAAATTTGTTTTCCTACTAATGTTATTTATTTGCTATTTGTTTTCCTGAAGTTATTTCTTCGATACTTCTTCCCTTAGTCTAAGAAAAGAATTTATTTAATTATTATATACAAGTTTATAATACTTTCCATAAAAAAATAAAAGACAAACCTCCGGAACAAAAATCCAGGTAAGGATCACAAAACAAAAGGTAATTGCGCCAAATACGAGGAAAGTATATTCTTTTAAAGCCTCTTTCATAACAGGAAATATGAAGCTTGCAAGAAAATTTAAGGTCCAATTTGTACCTAAACATATTGGACCAATCAAGCTTACGAAACGTGTTGGTATAACCTCTGATAATAATGCAGTAATGTGAAATATAATGTAATTAATTATAGCATAGTATAGTAATAGGAAAATTTACCACAAAGGTGATTTAAATGTCATGCCTGTGATAATAAAGAATGGTAAAGTTCCAAGAGCGATACTAAAAGTAGTAACATGAAGTAAAACTTTAAGATAAAAAAAAATTTATTAGAAAAGCTGTATACTTTCCATAATCCCGATTACTCAAATTACAATCCCGTATTGAATATTTGGAATCGTGATTCGGGCTCCTGAGTGGCCGGAATTATGAATGTTTCCATTGCATTCCTTTAATAAATTATAATGAATTTCTTACATGCGATTATAAGAAGAATATTATATTGATATATAGAGCCAATAACGATCAAAAGACATGAGATGGTAACACCAATCTCAGATGTTAATAATAATGGTCTTCTTCCCACTCGATCTATAATAAAGGTCGATGTTAATGTAACTACCAGGATTGTACCGCCTATGATTATCGTTATGTACTTGGACGAATCACCCATGACATTTAAGAAAATTGCAGTACTATTAAATTATTTAATGATTTAAAATGATGTACGTATGATAAGATCACATTATTATGATAAAAATTACCTATAAAAGACGATTACTTGGATTCCACAAAGTTGTTGTACAACGTGTGTTCCAACACAAACGAACAACATTTTGTGGCAATATGAATCTTGTAAAAGTTCTTTAAATGAAGCCGATTTCTTTATTCTAAGTTGATTATCAGTGTCAGCAAGAGAACTTTGTATATGCTTTTCACCTTTCTCGGTATTATCATCATTAATCGCATTAATCTGATTTACGGATTGTCCTTGAATAATTTCTTCAAATTCTAAATCAATATTATATCCCTTTCTTAATTTTTGTAATGTCACTTTCGCTTCATCAAATTTATTTTGTGAAATTAAATATCTTGGGGATTCCACTCCTATAATAGGCATTAGTACTAACTGGAAGATTGCAATTACTGACGTCAGAGTTAGGAGAATGCGCCAGCCAGGAACAAATGATAGTGGTAAACCAACAAGTTGAGTGATAACTATTCCAGCACAGACAGAAGCTTGATAAACGGAACCAATTAGTCCACGTGACTTTATGGTCGAGATTTCACCCAAATATGTCTTGGTTTAAAAAAAAACCAAAAAAGTGTTATTATTGTTATCGTTAAAAATATCAAAAAAATATTTGGCCATGTACCGGAATTACGACAGAACCAATACCGGCTCCAATCCCGGTGATAGTACGTCCGCATATAAACATTACTGGATTTACGGACGCACCGAGAAGTACACCACCGATTATCCAAGTAAAAGAATTATATATTAACGCGTTCTTTCTACCAAACATTGTCTGTAATCTACCCGCACTGAGACCTCCAAAAATAGCACCCATTGAATGACTTCCTACTGCAAGACCCCTATTTTGCATTAAGATTATTGCTTGTTAATTTTAGGGGACTAATACTTCTACACCTTCACGAATGGAAACCGTCTAATATTTAAGTATACATAATACTGAACTTAGTTTGATATCCTATACATGCGCAGTTTAGTTTTAACTTTATGATTACAATAGGTCGTTTATTCTTAACGTTAAGTACAGAAGTAAGGACAATAATTTTATTAATACATTTATAGCCCTGTTCAATTATTTTTATCCTAAGTCATAATTAAAGTATTGTATTACAGGATTAGTCGGCTAGTGTTGGCCGATGACCTAAGTCATGACATTTTTTTGATATGGCCTTAATCATATAATAAAATGAATTTTGATGATAGGTTATATTGGTCATATGAAATATTCTTTTACTATATTAAAAGTCATAAGGATCATATAGGTCATCTAAAGTTATCGGCCAACGTTGTTAGTCGGGTTCCCAATCGTGAGTGTAGAAATCGAAATGTCCGACCAATTTTTATCAAGTTTACCAGAGTAAATTTCCCATTGGAAGACAGTCTGGCACTCCTGCTCCTTGTACGTGATTATATCCATTTGAACAATTTTTAATTGTTTGTTCTTTCGTTTTACAAAGAAAAAGAAAAAATCAAAATCAATTTTTACAAAATAACATGCATTTGCGTACAAATATATCAAGATCCACTATTTATTACAATAAATACCTGGTATATTAGTAATGCCAGTATTAAATCCATTTTCAAAGCCACCGATTACAGCTAAAAGAGTAAGAATAATACAATAAAATGGTAGTTTTGCATTTCTTGAGTCTTGAATTGAAGAGTTTTGTTCGATATTTGAAGAGATCATTCTTTTTTTCATAAAATTGATTTTTTGAAAATAAGTCGGTTTGTTTAAAAGATTTTCATATTTATTTATTTATTTGTTTCTTTCTACGTATTATCTAAAATATTGTGGACCGTAACTCAATTAACCTAATTCTTGTGTCCGACCAAAGAAAAACTATTTGCAGTTGCACATAAAGAAATTTAAATTTTTTTTTTCCTATGTGCAAACAGACTTATCCTAACAAATAAATTTGACTAAATTTAATGCTAATCCTTGTTCACAAAAAAAAACAACAAAACAAAATCATTTTATTAGTGATACGGACCGGTGCCAAACCCTTAGGCTGACCGGTGCCAGGCCAGTCGATCGGCTGACAATATTTATTAAAAATTTTTCAACCACAAATAGTCTCATAATTTGATCTCGTTCACTTACTGATTACAGGAGAGACCGTCGATGTTTCACGACTGATCCTTCACCCGGTGTGCAACACATAAAAAATTTATTTTACAATACCAGATCATTCCACTAGTACATGTTATGATTATAATCCAACATCATTTTTATTATAGTAAAATGGTGTTGGATTATAATCATATCATGTACTAGTGAAAATGATTTTTTTATGCATAGCACACCGGGTGAAGGATAAGTCGTGTAACATCAACGGTCTCTGCTGTTCTTACTTATAGGTCAAGATACTACATCACTACACCTACGTAGCTGAATTGCTTCTCTTTAACATCATTTGGGTAAACGATTTATGTTGCACAAGTAAAATGATACGTATTCAATTAGGAGTCAATAAAGTTACCTGATTGCTGCAGAATTTAACCTTATTACGTCCTATTAACATCTATTGCTTACCGTTACGAATTTTGGCGCCAAAAGAGGTCAATCGGTTAATACGTAGAGTTAATTAGTACAACACATATAAAATGATATTCAATAGATCAATAGGTATCAATCAGAATAATATTATGCATATTGATACCCTATCGACCTCTTTTGGGCCAAAATTTGGCAGCAATAGAGATGCCAATTTGGTACCCTATTGAATATCATTTTACATGTGCAACTTAGCGTTCTCAATAAATAGAATAAATAGACACATATGCAGCAGACTTTAATCATTACCGAAACCATTGTGTCGTTACTTTAATTAGAAATAATAATTCATTTTGATTCGGGAAATCTTGATTACAATCCTGCATGCTTTATGAATAAAGTAGTACGTATATATACATATTCGTAATACGGTATTATGTATACGTATATTTGCGCTTTACGTATAAATAATATTTAATCATATATGTAAAAATTATTTGTAAAGATTATACGTAAAGTTGCGGGCATATAATATCTGATATGAAAAGCTACATTACGCAATCATTTGGTCCCCAAATTTAAATTTTGGTTATCAAATTATATATTAATCAATCAATGTTAAACCTTGAAAAAAAATTTCGGACCCTTGATCGTACCGACAACGAGTCTAACCCATATATATGTTGTGCCTCATAATGACGTGAGCCTCAACTGACAACTGACGCACCTCAGATATCAATCATCAGGTAAGGTGCCTCAGATAATCAATCGATATCTGAGGTGCGTTGACTGTCGTATGATGCAATTATTAAAATATACAAATATATAAATTATTTTATTTTTTGATTTATTTTTATTATTAAAAATAATAATAAAAAATTTTATTTATAAATTATAAAATACATATAGCATTAAGTTTTATTTTGACATAACCATCCACTATGGCATTGACTACCACATTTAGCATTATTTTTTTTACAATGACACTTCTTAGAATTGCATTCATTTTTGCAATAACAAATTGCAGAGGATGAGCCCGCACTTTGAAGTTGTGCTGCTTCTCTAATTGATATTTTGTTAGATGGTATATTATTAAGTTCAGGAAAATCATTAACACCCAAAGGTTCAAGTTCGCCAGCACAATAATAAATGTCAATAATGCCAAATTTTGAACCCAATTGATAATGATCATTTTCGGTTTTAGCTAGTATTTTACATGGTAAAGTTGGCCTGTCAATGCTAAACTGATCAATTTTGGAAATTGTAATTCTTACCAAATTACTGACTACATATTCTAATACTTGCTTTTTGCCTTTAGACATCTGGTTCGCCATTTTTTCAACATATTCTTCTAGATTTTTATGAGCTGATTAATGTAAAATTTCATGTTCAGTAATATCAACAAGTGGAGTAATAATCACATTGGAATCAGTAGGTAGAAGAGCAGTAACAGCATTGGAATCAACAGGTAAAAGAGTGATAACAGCATTAGAATCAATAGGCTGAAGAGTGATGCTAGCATTAGAATCAACAGGCAGAAGAGTGATGTCACTATTAGAATCAACAGGCGGAAGAGCGATAGTATTGGAATCAACAGGTAGAATAGTAATAGCATTGGAGGATCGATTTAATGAAGTATTATTTAGGAAATTTTCATCATCTATAATATATGTTAATAAAATTATATTAAATACTATATAAAATTATAATATGCATTTTAAATTATATTTAATATACATACTCTCCAAATCATTATCCAGATTTGTATTGTCAATAATATCTTGTATTTCAATTGTGTTTGGAATATATTCTTCATCAAGTACATTTTTTGAAAATAATTCACTAACTAATGTACAATTATTTTGAGGCTTACTACCATACACTAATTTATATGACATTTTTTTATGTGAGTGACAAAAACTATTGTTCATAGAAGAGATAACAAAGCGAAGTCCAAAAGACCAATCAGTACATCCAGTATATTCCTTCTACTTCCCAAGTTTTTGTTAAAGGATTCCATTGGCACGTTCAACTAAGCCTTACGATTGAGGGTGCCATGGTCTTCTATTTATAATTTTGACAGTCGGCCACATTTGCATAAGCTCCTTGATTACTAAAGCACAGAACTCTTTGCCATTGTCTGATTGTAGAATAGTCAGAGAAGAATCCAAGCTATGAAATAAATCAAATAAATACGCTGCAACTTCAACAGCCCTTTTAGATGTAAGTGGTTTAGCTCAAGAAAAACAGCTAAAATGATCTCTAATGTGACAGATGTATTTATAATCTCTATCTGCATCAAATGATAAGTCAATTAAATTAATCTTATGAAATAATATATTAAAAAAAATAAATAAATAAATAAATAAATAAAATAAAGTAATTAAATATACTGTAAAATTAGCTTACTTGTAGACGTGATAAAAAATTTTTGGCTATGATTGGTTTTGCTGCCAATGGGTGAAAGAATGGCTTCCTTGTAGTGCATATCATGCAGTTATTGACAAACTGTTCAATTATATTTTACCTAATTCATCTCCATTTTTCTCTAATCGACTTCTACAATTGTTTCTGTCCACCATGTTGATCAATTTTAGCATGAGTTCGGCAGAATATTTCATACATATTTTCAATAGTTAAAACTGGGTTATTGTCCTTTTTTACTATAATTCTAAAATCATTAGGGGTTATTTCCTCTAAGCAAAACCTTCTTTTTGCCCAATCTCATGTGTTACAATCACTGATATTTGTATTTGTGGAATTTTGTAGAATTAACTTGATTTTATTAAGAAGTTCCATATTTACTAATGCTTTATCTCATTTTTTTTCAGGTAAACTCATTAAGTATTGGTCAATAATATTATCAAAGGTTTCTTTACTTATAAAGATATATTCCATAATAAATATGATTCAAATGAAATAATACCACTTGAAATTTTCTAGAGAATAGATGATGATTAATGTCCAGGTAAGAAGTTTATAGACAATAATGTATGGGCAACAAACATATGGGCAATGAATGTATAGACTATGAGCGTATTGGTAATAAACATATGGGCAACAAATGTATGAGCAATGAATGTAGCCTATGAGCGTATTGGTAATAAATGTATGGGCAACGGCAACAAACAGATGTACAGGAAATGAATGCACAAGAATGAACGTATGAGCAATGAATATGGGCAATGCACTGGGCAATTATGGGAACAAAGGTATGAAAAAGAACATTTGGTAGCCAATATATAGGCAATGAAGCCACAAAGTATATGATGAAAATCGTCATAAACTCAAATTATCATTTACAAAGTTAATATCATTACTTAAAAGTTGATAACAATAATGATAGTGATAATATAAAAGTTAAAGGGAAAGGGAATACGTCAGATGACAGTCAACGCACCTCAGATATTGATTGATTATCTGAGGCACCTTATCTGATAATCGATATCTGAGGTGCGTCAGCTGTCAGTTAAGGCTCACGTCATTATGAGGCACAATATATATACATATTAGGCATTATTATTATTTGGCACATATTCAAAAAGTATATCAGGTTTTGAGCGTATAGTGCTGGAGGCTTATACTCGACAATCACATGATGTGAAATATGATATTTTTCAAAATGCTACTCCACTTTCGACAGAGGCGATTTTAAGAAAGTAAACCGTTAACTTTGTAGTTTAGATTTCGAACATTTGATTGGGTGATATTTATTGTTCGATCATATTAGTTAACTGCCAGGAATGATTTAAATGCTCTCTTATCATTCTTCACTCTCTATAAATTCAATATAATTGTTATCAAATAAAACCTTGTTATAAAATAAAATTTATCACAAATAAAACTTTGTAATTGTGTAAAATTTTATTAGTAAAAAAAAAATTTGAAGACTTGAATGTTGAAATTATTGGTTAATAGCTTTGGTGTATGTTAATATTATTAATTAAAAGTATACCTAACAATTTTGTAATTCATAAATAATTCTTTTAATTAGTTAATTTATAATGTCTCATCAAAACAAAAGAAAATGTTTTGCAAATAAATTATCCAGAAAACATAGTCATTTTGCATCTTAAAAAATTATTATCCATAAAGAAACTGTTGATGTACATGGTAAAATGATGAATATAGATGAAGATATTACAATGCAAAATAAAATTAGCTATACAGATATCATAATATAAAATAATATT